CCAGAAATGCGCCCTCCATTTCCCATTCCCCAGGCTATTTATGTGAGCTGTAACATATATGCATATTAATAGTAGCCATATAGGTACCTCCATGCAAGAATGCAGGAGTTAATAATGCCAAATGCACTTGCAGTGGCCAATTTCGAGTTTTCTACCTATAATCACCTTGTTTGCCCCATGGGATGCCCAATTCTTCACCAATCTTCAAGAAGAAACATGTCCCAGGATCGGAACAATCTCCTCTTCAAATTCCAACACCTCCGAGATGACCAATGTGACACCTTAGATAACATAAAAATCGAACTGATTGCCACTTTTAAGGAAATCAAGGAAATATATAAGTAATCAGACAATGCAGAGACATTCTACTGACTACTTCTAAGTGTCCTCAAAAAGTTCTATTGTGATTGGGTCATTGTGGAAGACAGGAGGTCTGAAATGAACCTCAAACAGACTGGTGATGAGTGGTGATCACCATATTACCTAGTTTGTCAAATGTGTTCACCCTGGAAACTGGAGGTAGTATCATTGCTCACACCTCTGAGAGGGGTTTACAAACACCTGATAATTACTCTACTCTATAATATATATTTTAAACATATTTTCATGAAATTTTAGAGCAAGGATCATACCTCCATTCCAAGGTAGAATCTTGGAGAGGGCAATTGAGAAGGCAGAAGGACAGTTGCATGAATAACATATTCAGTTCTTATCCAATTTGCGTCGGACCTTTTTTATATCACTCTAACAGTAGTATAGTAAGTATTCTGTGCTATCCGAGGAGATTTGGGGCACTAGAGGACATGCCAGAAGGATGCCATGTCCACCATCAACATTGTGGGAATCTCCTGGGCAAGAAGAAGAATTGGTAACGGAATGGGGGTGTTTCTACACAGTCTGTCATCTCGGAGGTGTTGGAATTTGAAGAGGAGATTGTTCCGATCCTGGGACATGTTTCTTCTTGAAGATTGGTGAAGAATTGGGCATCCCATGGGGCAAAGAAGGTGATTATAGGTAGAAAACTCGAAATTGGCCACTGCAAGTGCATTTGGCATTATTAACTCCTGCATTCTTGCATGGAGGTACCTATATGGCTACTATTAATATGCATATATGTTACAGCTCACATAAATAGCCTGGGGAATGGGAAATGGAGGGCGCATTTCTGGCTTTTCAGGGGGAGGAGGAAGGGGTGCTTATATTATATTAAAAGGGAGACTATACCATGCTATGTGACTGTAAATAGTGAGTAGAGCACTGGGTGAGACTGACTGAAAAGTTCTACAGATCTTGGATAAGAATTGGGGGAGATACAGAAGTTCGCTTTTTGTGATATTGAGGGATGAGGAGTGTTGTAGGTATATCTTTGGAACAAATGAACGTGTGGAGACACTGAATAGCGCGTTTTGTAGCCTTTGATAGCCTCTATCTGAACGCATAATGTTTGGAAAGGATAGATACATACGTGGCATAGAGATTTGAGTGCGCTTTTTCGGGTTTTTAGCACATAAACATCGAAAGGCCCATTACATAACCAATAATGCATGCAAGACCATTATTATTGGCTCGTCCTGAAGCTCTAGTAGCATACTAAATTATCGGCTAGTTTTTATGAGGCAGGGATGCATGAGAGGCAGAGCATTAGGTGCGCATTTTCGCATTTTTGTGCATAGAAGCACAGTTTAGGCCATAACATCGCCAAAAATGGTCGTATTCACATGTTCTGGGTGTCTACAGGTAGCTATGAGTTACCTA